GACACATTTAACGAGAAATATGAAATAATTCAGTGAAAATTTGTGAAATACTTGTGTGTACTCAATTTCTTTACCAACAATACATGCTTTTATAAGAAATGTGTGTTTTATCCCAAAAGAAATGAAAGCAACCCTTGAATATTAACTAATTTCTTACTTAGTGACACATTTAACAAAAATTCTCAAAGAATTCAGTAAACTTTAGAAAATACTTGTGTGTACTCAATTTCTTTACCAACAATACATGCTTTTATAAGAAATGTGTGTTTTATCCCAAAAGAAATGAAAGCAACCCTTGAATATTAACTTATTTCTTACTTAGTGACACATTTAACAAAAATTCTCAAAGAATTTAGTAAATTTTAGAAAATACTTGTGTGTACTCAATTTCTTTACCAAAAATACATGATTTGATAAGAAATGTATGTTTTATCCCAAAAGAAATGAAAGCAACCCTTGAATATTTACTAATTACTTGCCTGGTGACACATTTGACCAGAATTCTCAAAGAATTCAGTACATTTTAGGAAATACTTGTGTGCACTCAATTTCTTTACCAAAAACACATGCTTTGATAAGAAATGCATGTTTTATCCCAAAAGAAATGAAAGCAACCCTTGAATATTTACTAATTACTTGCCTGGTGACACATTTGACCAGAATTCTCAAAGAATTCAGTAAATTTTAGGAAATACTTGTGTGCACTCAATTTCTTTACCAAAAACACATGCTTTGATAAGAAATGTATGTTTTATCTCAAAAGAAATGAAAGCAACCCTTGAATATTTACTAATTACTTGCCTGGTGACACATTTGACCAGAATTCTCAAAGAATTCAGTAAATTTTAGGAAATACTTGTGTGTACTCAATTTCTTTACCAAAAATACATGCTTTGATCATGTGGGTACAGTCCACTAATTGTTTTCCCATAGGCGACAATGTTAACGTTTCTTCTCATAGCGATGTCCCTAATTTTCGTTCGGTAGTGAGTGACCCCTCAAATCAAAGCACATCAACTTGTCTGTCCTTGGTTAAAATCTCGAGGTGGCATGTCAGATTCGTTTTCCGGCAAAATGCGTCTGTCTGCGGGAACCTCTAAAAATGAAAGTGAAAGTAGGGTAATTTCAGAATTCTCAATGGCGTTATAATACACAAAATAATTCGGCTGATCTTTTTGATAAATTACATTTTCAAAGCTTTTTTGGTAGGAAAGATACTCCTTATCAACAAGTGTGAGGCTCAGTTCAGTACACCTGCCCAATTTTTTTATGCAAGTCTGCAATTTAAGGAACTTGTAATTTTTTCTGCACTACTTTCTTCTCCTACCGATTCTAAAAATAATTAGTGGGATGTACCCAATATGAAAAAGCATTTTTTTGATTTTACAATATTTCACACTGTTTGTCAATCTAGAGCATAAGTAGAGACATCATGCCAAGTTTCATGAAAATTCAACAATTAATTAAGATTTTACAGCATTTACAGTTCTATGTGTAATATCCTTAAAAAATGCTCCAATCTAGCCAAAACTGCACCCAAATTTTGAGTCAAATTTTAGCCTATCGACACATTTATACTATTCTTAATCACCTTCATATCTTTCAATACATATAGTCAAATCATAATCAAGCACGTAATTGGGTCAATTTCACTTATTTTAAAAAATTAATGTATTTCCGCACAAAATATGACCACTTTTCACCCTCTAATTCATAGTTTCTCCAGAAATGAAAAAAAAAATGAAGTTCACAAATACCCCGAAAGTAGTAAAATAAAAAAGTACTTATTATTTCCTGTCCATTGATGTATCATTCATGAAATTTGGACTATGAATGAAAAAGTTATAAGCCTTTATAATCCTATATAGAATCATTTGTTTCAAAGCAATTTTTATACCAATGCAAATTTACTCATCTATGACGTCACAATGACATCATAATAATGGATAGCTCAATACATGCGTATCATTACTTTTCCCGTACTTTTCATTTAAGACAAAATCAGTGCTTATATACTATTATTTACTTTAAAAAATAAAAATATGGGGTGTTGCAGATTAAATAAATAGTTCACTAAAGTTGTTTTGTTTCCATGGTAACCATTTTGTAATTTGTAGGAAAATGAGACAAAATTTTGAATTTCCTGACAAATCACATAATTTTGACTGTCAAATATTCATGAAATTTCAATTCTTATATCCGTGTAATATACAAAGATGTAGATCTAATTAATTTGAAAATCTTAAATAAGAAAAGAAAATCTATATGAGCTGCAAAATGTATATAGCAGTGCATGTACAGATTAGTTATAGCTAAATACTTTCACATTCTGATCACCTATTTGATATGTAAATTTCCTCACCCCCACCCCATCCCCCCACTCTAATGAAATTTTTTTTAGCAAAACTTAAACTTACATATTTTGCCGACTGTCACATTTTGCTGGTTCTTTTTCAAGATGTATTCAAATGGGTGTGCATTTGCTGGCCAATAGTTTTAAACACCATCTGCATGGACCTCATGTTTTTCCTGTACCAATCACCATAAACCTAAAAAAAAATCAATACAATAAATGGTACAATATAACATTTGCAGACAGACAGACACACAGACATTCAACACGTACAATTTTTACCATATTCCTTTTATGCCCATTACTTGAAATTAATTAATTTAAAAAATGATTAATTTGCTCCCACCTGAAATCACACTGTTTACATTGGTAATTAAGTAAATTCAGCAGAATTATATAGGTAAAAATCATGTTTTACTGACAATAATTGAACATTCAACAAATACATGTAATGCAATTGCTAAAAAATATGAGAAAAATCAGTTAATGTGCATGTTCACACACATCGTTTAACTCCCAGACAACTGTACCCAGCTTGACCGCGCAACTGATCTGAAATGATGTATGTCAAGTATGTGACGCGCCGATCATCGACATGTTCCAAAAACATTAAATTGTTGTTTACAAATATTGTACTAGGGTATACCTCTTACCTCCTGTGTAAAATACAAATACCCATCACCTATATACTGCTTAACACTTCCCTGAACAGTTTCTGCTAAGTCTACTTTCACTTCGACCTTGACCCCGATTGAATACCGATCCCGAACTCATTTGTGAATTTTTGTGTATTGAAAATAAACCACAGTGGAGCATGTACTTCTACATAATTGCTTCTTAATCAAATTATACATTTATGATTCTGAATAAATAAATTATATAAATCGATACATTTAATCTACATGATACATGTGTAAACAAGGGGTGATACATGTTGACTGTTCCCGGGGGGTGGGGGGGGGGGGCTAGACCCTTTATTCATGAATCAATTTGTTTAAAAATGTGTATCAACAATATAAGAATTGTTTTTTTCATAAATTTGAACAATTGAAAATAATAGAAAACAACAACTTTGAAATAAATTCAAGATTTATGACATCTTTCACTTACTTATAGGCTTCCTAATATGGGTACAGTCCACTAATTGTTTTCCCATAGGCGACAATGTTAACGTTTCTTCTCATAGCGATGTCCCTAATTTTCGTTCGGTAGTGAGTGACCCCTCAAATCAAAGCACATCAACTTGTCTGTCCTTGGTTAAAATCTCGAGGTGGCATGTCAGATTCGTTTTCCGGCAAAATGCGTCTGTCTGCGGGAACCTCTAAAAATGAAAGTGAAAGTAGGGGAATTTCAGAATTCTCAATGGCGTTATAATACACAAAATAATTCGGCTGATCTTCTTGATAAATTACATTTTCAAAGCTTTTTTGGTAGGAAAGATACTCCTTATCAACAAGTGTGAGGCTCAGTTCAGTACACCTGCCCAATTTTTTTTATGCAAGTCTGCAATTTAAGGAACTTGTAATTTTTTCTGCACTACTTTCTTCTCCTACCGATTCTAAAAATAATTAGTGGGATGTACCCATGTTGATAAGAAAGTATTGATAAAATGTTAAATTCCCAATTCCAAGGGCCTAGGTCCAGTGTCAATGACTTTGATCACTCTGTAAATTTTTGTCAATTTAGATCATTGCATTTTGCTTGAAATGACCATACTCTAAGGATTTGCGTATAAACACTGTTTTTACAACTCAACTTATAGTCATTATTAATAACTATTAATGCAATGTTAATAAATGTATGCATGTTTTATAGATAGCAGTGTATTTTTTTGTCACTACTGGAATGCTGCATGGCAATTACGGCAGTGATTTTCTGTTTCCTGTTCCTGTAAGTATGGTTCATGTAATATATCAATGGTGGATAACTACAGAAAGTGTTTTACTTTACATCTTGTCTGTTCAGAGATTTTACCTGGGCGCATGCCAATGATATTCCTATGTATACTATCAAAAAGGTGCAAAACTTAATACATGTTTGTATATTGGATTCAGGTAAATATCAATATGTATTTTTAAATCAGTTTATTGTTAACCCCTAAAAATCCTTTGACCTACAGCATGTACAATACAAATGTAATTGAGTAAAATGATTGAGCTCTTTATTTTCAAGAAATGAATTAACCTAGAGTGGTATTGCAACAGCAATTAAAGTTTTGTAACGTACAATGTAGTTGTAATATTTCACATTAAAGTTAGCTATAAAGATAACTTTGTAATCATGGTAATAACTAATATTTTAATATTGTAGCTTGCTGGCATTTCTTTGCAGAATTAACTACTTGGAGAGGTGAGTTAAAAATAATGAATAAATGAAAAGAAATTTCTGTTGAATTGCTGTTAAAAATATTATGAAAATAAATTATGTGCTTGAAAAAACAGTCAGTGAAACTATATGTTATATTTAAAAATGTCATTTGCATTAGAGCCATATCATAAACCACATATAACAAAATATCTTTGCTTCCAGGATAGGCTCAACAAGTTGACTTTTACTCCTCAGTTTTGTGTCTTTTTTTTAAACACATAATTTTAGGTTTAAAAAGATGTAAATTAAAATTAAGCTTGCTTTTGATTTTTATTTTTAGAGACCCATTGACTCCTTCCTTTGAAATCAAATTCACAAGTAAGTTGAGCATACTTCTTGATTGGTAAAGTTACCAATGATCTTCATTATAATATATATATATATATATATAGACATGTATATATCAATTTTAAAATCTATCAGGATGTAGGTATGGGGTGGACACATGATCAACTTCCTTGAAGATCATCATGGTAGATTTGACATGTGCCAACCTCTATACTTATCCTGGTATTAATTTTTAAAAAAGCTGACATGAGCTATGACTCATGTGAGCTTTCATGATCAAAAAGTGTCTATTTGTCTTGTGTTTTTCTTTGTCTGAATTTTGATCGGGATCAAACTTCAAATTACTATTCAACTTTCGTTTTATACCATGGGAATGCCAGTATCATTTTTAACAGATGAGAAGATAGTTATTGCTGTGATAGCAGTAAAGAAGAATCATCTTTTGTGGAAGATTGATGTTATAGAGTAAGAGATATGCATATTGGAATAGTCATGTGCAAACGATTTTAACTGTGTCCAATGAATATAAATGCAATTTTTCTACTTTGAACTACTAAAATAGTGATGGTGAATATGCCTCTTAGCATTGTTACACCTCCACAAATGAAGGGAGGGTTTTAGTGGAATGGCATATCTGTCTGTAGGTTTGATTTTGATTTCTTTGCTGTTTAAAGCATGGATTTGTCTGAAATTTTGTATAATAATTATTTACCAAAAGCATGAGCTGTTTTTTTCTGTTGCTGCGGGTGTGTGCTTATTTTCAAGAAAGCCATGATTCCTCTCTTTTATATGGAAGCATCTTTTGATAATGTTCTTTAAATTTATTCAAATTTTGACCTCTTGGAATACGGAGGGGATACATTGAACATGTGGCCAAAGTTGTACTTAAAAATGTATAGGAAAGATCATTTTGAAATCTTCTCAAGAACAACAAAACCATCATAAGTCTTCAATATAATTTAATATAATTTAATTTTGGTTTTAATGCATCATTTGATGAGATTAAAAATTAATTTGTAATAGATATTAACCTGAGTTCTTTTTGCAGCTTTTAGTTAATACTTTATAGATCCTTTATGGATTGTTTTTTTATACTCAAGTGATGGCTTAGGACATTTGGCCCTTTGTTTTTCTTTTTGTGTTTGGGGGTCTGTATGTTTGTTCTTTGTTAATTTTTTAATTTTTATTATTTTTTTTTGTCATATTGGGTTACGCTCAAACAGATGATATAGTAGTGTGCAGGAAATTGTAACCTTTTAGAAATATATTTCATCAGAATTATTTTTTTTACATATGATGACTGCCCTTAACGTAGTGTTTTGGGTCTTTTTTCCTCATCTTTTTTCTTTGAAATCTTAACCTTAATCTTAACACAGCAAATAATGAAATCTATTTATCCCCAGTGAGCAATGATTTTACATACAATCCAGTTTAGTCTTCAGACTTTGAATCAATGTTTGTTTGCCCTCTCTGAACTCAATTTCCATGGTTATATCTCACAGGCCTTTAGATCGCTTAGAAAAAAAATTGAGTTGTTGAAAAAAAAAAATAAAGGTATGGAACTCTTTTCATGGGGTACCTACTTTCGCCAATAATATTCTTTTAAATCAAATGCTTTATAATTTTACTTTCTATCTATATCTATTCAAATATAAACAATCTTCATTACTACCAAAGTTCATTCCGTAGTTCCTTATACTTCTCGAGATATTCTGAAATTAATTCCCAAATTTACAATAATCTTTTTACTCGACATCAGCTTGGGCCTTCACTAATTGTAAAGCAAGAACGACGGGACAAATTTTCCCCGGAATTTATTCTAAACTCAATGAATATTTGCTCATTTGCATTCAAGCTTTACAAGGTTTTTCTTTAAATTGATCATTTGGTGTAACTAAGTCATAAACAACATTTTAGCTGTCTAATTGTTTTGAAAATCGAAAGGTATATAATGCATTTCGGGAAAATTTCATTCTACCATGGCTTCATTCACAATTATAATCAACATGGCGGTAGTTGTTGATGTAGACGTTTTCAAATTAATTTTTCGCGAAAGGAATATTATTAAGGACTTGACATTACAATCTGGAGTAAGAAATCAACTTTAAATTGTTGAAAGATATTGCGAATACTATGCAAGTCTTCGCCGCACTTCAAACACCATTTGTTTACATGTGAATGGCCAGGGGCCCAAGCTAATGTCGAGTAAAAGAAAGTAGGTCATTTTTGAAATTGATTTCAGAATATCTCAAGAAATATATGGAATTTCGGAATGAGCTTTGGTAGAATTGAAGAATGTTTATCTATGAATAGATTTAAATAAAAAGTAGAATTTTAGAGCATTCGAATAAAAAATATTTTATTAGCGAAATTAGGTACCCAGTGTAAGAGTTCAGTAGTACCTTTATTTTTTTTACACACACAATTTTTTTTAAGCGATCCAAAGGCCTGTGGTTATATCTGGAATATTTTAGCCTGGATAAGTACTAAGACATTATTTGCACTAGTTCCTTTCAGGATTTGTGTAACTTTTCTCAAGTAAGTTTTTTTTTTACTTTTTTAGCTCACCTCAACGAAGTCGAGATGAGCTTATGCTATACCCCCGGCGTCCCAGGTTAAAGTTTTAGGAGCAAGTCCATTCCCAAGTAGCTATTAGCCCTATCTGAACCAAACTTGCATGGATGATGCATCTAGAGATGTACACTACCAGACTTGCTTCGGGTGCTGGATCTGACCTACATTTTCATTCCCAAGTAACTATAAGCCCTAGCTAAACCAAACTTGCATGGATGATGCATCTTAGGATCAAACTTGCTTGGGATGCTGGATCTGACCTATATTTTCCATACAAGAGACCAGGTTAAAGTTTTGGGAACAGAGCAATCCGAATGAATTTTAAATATGTGGTGGGTAGGTCATGTGGAGGGGGCACATTAGCAATGTAAGGTGGGTAGGTCATGTGGAGGGGGCACATTAGCAATGTAAGGTGGGTAGACAGCATAACATCGTTTAATACAGTATTGCTCTCAGCCAATGAAATTTCTAGATTTTTATCAGAGACAGGATAAGTACATATATTAAGTGCATAATTGTTGATCAGTGTATGAAACTCATCGTTAAAGAAGATAGACAGTGCTGTCAAATTTGATCATTTGACAGCACTTGACATTTCCTGTGCAACATTTTTTACTTTTTGTGTTAATCTACAAGTAGATGTTTTTTTAAGAAGAATACTTGAATGACAACCTCCACAATATTGAATTTAAATATAATCTTCCTCTGTCACAAACGTAAAGTATTTTTTAATTAATTTGTCAACAGAGTTTAGCAATTTCCCTGTATTCCAACCCAATGTTTAAAAATAATGACAGGCGGTATATTGTTGATCTTATATAGGAAATTTAGAACATTATGTCCTAATTTTGGTAGGATGGCTTAAGGTGCAGATAATGGCATTTACTAATTACAAGAAAGTCTATTAACTCTCAAAAGTCAGAGGTAATTTTTTTTTGTACTATCTTGACTAAAAGGTGGTGGCTGTTCTGTATTAATTATACTAAAGAAATACTCTCTAAGAACTGGTAATGTAAGGATAGTTGCAGACATGGGTTCAATTCCCATCATTACCAACAAACAATTTCAGTCTTTCTAACTAACACTCTGATGATGGTTGTTGAATTTTGGCAATTCTAATTCGCATATTCATTTAATTTTGACAAGGCCTGGTGGGGGGCACTATGAATTGGTAACTGAAACTGTACCAATACATAGGAGAATTTCACAACCCCATTCAGTTGGAATAAAAAGTAAATATCATTGGAATTTAGAATATGCAGCATGTAAGAAAATTGATTTAGATTCACTAGTTTCAAGTAAGGATACAAATAACCAAGAAATTAATCATTTCTCTGAAAATCCTCACTTAAAAACACTTAACAATTACTTTCAAACAATCCATACTTACTGAAAATCCTCTAATGACTTACAAAAGACAAATAGCTTTGAAAAAAATCAATGTTCAATTTGTAAGAAGACATTTCACGATAAGGCAAATCTAAATAGGCATAAAAAAAATGTACATGATAAAGAAAATGCCCACTATCAAGAATCCGGGTAGAAAGAGAAAAGATTTTTTGAGGAAACCCTCCCAAACAAGAAAAAGATAATGTCCTTAAATGGCTTCAGTAACATAATCAACCAGGTCAAAACGCTGCTCCTTCTGATGGAATAGAACAAGATCAAAGGTCAGGGCCCTCTGTTGCACCATATCCCCCATTGAGACTAGTACATACAAATGAACTCCCTGTTTTACCATCAGAAACACAAGGTCCAGTCATTAATATTAATGATCCTCAAGGTCTACCTTCCTGGTATAGGATTCCTCCATCACTTTATGGTAGGAGGATAACAGTTGTTGGAAGTGATGGAAAAAAACACAGCATAATATTCACAGGTGGACAACACCATACAAATGAGGATAAAGAGAACTAAAAAACTTTTTTAAGAATCTATTTCCCAAATTCAATGGTCATGGCTATATACATGTAATAATAATATCTGTATGGAAAGGGATATTTTTGACTCCTTTTTAGGGCTTAGTTGTTCTTAGGCATGGGAAAAGAAAAGTTCAGTCTCCATCTAACATTTCAGTCGTGTTATTTACTTTTATCAATGCGTTCTCTTATTTTTTTTATTAGACATACTTTCAATCTGTCATAAATACACTAAATCTATGCTTGAATCATTTCCCTTTTTTTATTCTCCAAAGAATATAAAATCAATATCATGATTTTAAATGAGATAGAATATAACTATAAAACTAATTAATTTTACAACTATAAATTCAATTTCAGCATAGTTGACAACTGCAACTGGCATAAAGTCAGTCCAGTAGTAGACTGGCAATGGTAGATGAGCATTCTCCGTCCGCTCTAGGCCAGTGTCAAGTTGCATGTTGTCTACCTTTTAAAAATTGATTTAAATCCAATTTTATTACGAAATCTAATCATACTCACATATGTGTTGTTGTGTTGCTGCAGGAAGATAGTATACATGGGCCGAAACTTTCCTGGTTGTGTCAAATTATTATTTTTTTTAGAAATTTATTACTCTGTACAAAAATGATCTCACAATGAATGAGTTTTTATGTAAAAGTTGAAGACAAATGTTTAAGTTATGAATGAGAATAATTAAAAATTTTTGAAATTATGAAAACCAGGAAGGTATCAGGGGAATATTTTGTCTATTTTGATGTCTCAGTTTGATCTCTTCTCTGACTGATGAGGCCCAGGGAGACAAATTGACACATGTATAGTTATGTATATGTAACTTGTGTAAGTTTATAAAAATTAAGTTAACCGCCTAGTCTGTTAGGAGAATATATATATACTCACAATCAAAACAAACGCAACACTCTAAGCATGTTAAGTTTAGGGTGAAAATTATGTACAGGATATCAAGTTCTATGTAGGTACCAAAAAAAATAACTTTCGGTTAAGGAATGAAAATCATTCGACCGTTTAAGAACTTAAGTTAAATATAATTTAATTCCAGTTATTATTTTGAATTTGATTAGATAAAAAAAATACTTGATATTGTATGAATTTGGTTGCCTACATCACAGTGACTTGCATCAAAAATTTATAGATCCAAATGTGAGTAATGTTATTTGTTTATCGATGTTATTTATTTATGTTTATTCTATGTTACAGGTCCCAATAAATTGGATTCATCAGCAGTGGTGATTCTTTGGTGCCAATTCATCATTTATATGACATTAACAAGAGGATTTTAATTTGTATCTATGTCCATTAAACCATTATATTTTTAGACCATGACTCTTTGTATTTTCTAAAAAAATACCTTTTGTGTGACATATGAAAAAAAAAACCAGCAGGGTCACAAGACGCACACTGGCCTTGTGTACATGTAATACAACATTTCTGAGTATCATCATGATTATAAAAAATAATAATTTAACTTTGTGAATGGAGAGGGTTTTTAGAGGTACATGTATTTACATTAAAACACAAAATTTACTTTTGTAAATAATTTTTCTGAATAACACTAGCTAAGTATGGGATATTTAATGGTTTGTCATGTGACCTAAATTAATTATTCAGTCATAAACAATTAAAAATTTTTAGAGTGACATCATAATTGGTAGACAAGTTTATTTAACAATTTCTACCATTGGGGTTTATATTTCATTTCACGGGTGTAGAACTTTAGTACATACTGTACTATGGATTGTCAATTAGTCTCAATTGAATATACAGTGTATAATTAAATTAATTATGTAATCATTTAAGACTTCTATCGTGATGTAAGTATGGTTTGCATGTGATTAAATCTACCATAAAGCCTTCTGTGTTTTCTTAGATTTGATCTCATGACCAAACTAAATTTACATCACCATAGATGGGTTCATTAACATCATTAAATGACCAAACATTTATCATTTACACAAGAAATGTTTTTTATGGGTCTTGGTACACTGTACGAGAAATATTGTTGCAAAATATATATATATATATATATATATATATATATATATATATATATATATATATATATATATATATATATATATATATATATATATATATATATATATATATATATATATACGGACCGTGTAGTGTAGGGCAGCGTTGTGAGATTTCCATCGGCATCGAAAGCAAGTTTTTAACTTGCCTAGATAGCCGAGCGGTCTAACGCGCTGTTCCTGTCCTGCTAGGAGACAGCTTCCGTAGGTCGCGAGTTCAACCCCGGGCTGGGGCGGAAGTGAGTATCCTTGTAAAAAGTGAATTTCTCTGTGCTTTCTATATTAATATTCCTTCACTTAGGGCAGTTATATTAGTTTAAGAGTTGTTGTAATTTGTGCCTTATGAATAAAATTAATTTCATCACAACATGTATTGGTAACAATCCACTAAAAGCTAATGTCCAAATAACTGTATCTCACTTCCATTCTCAATGACCGTGTAGTGTAGGGCAGCGTTGTGAGAATTCCATCGGCATCGAAAGCAAGTTTTTAACTTGCCTAGATAGCCGAGCGGTCTAACGCGCTGTTCCTATACTGCTAGGAGACAGATTCCGTAGGTCGCGAGTTCAACCCCGGGCTGGGGCGGAAGTGAGTATCCTTGTAAAAAGTGAATTTCTCTGTGCTTTCTATATTAATATTCCTTCACTTAGGGCAGTTATATTAGTTTAAGAGTTGTTGTAATTTGTGCCTTATGAATAAAATTAATTTCATCACAACATGTATTGGTAACAATCCTCTAAAAACTAATGTCCAAATAACTGTATCTCACTTCCATTCTCAATGACCGTGTAGTGTAGGGCAGCGTTGTGAGAATTCCATCGGCATCGAAAGCAAGTTTTTAACTTGCCTAGATAGCCGAGCGGTCTAACGCGCTGTTCCTATACTGCTAGGAGACAGATTCCGTAGGTCGCGAGTTCAACCCCGGGCTGGGGCGGAAGTGAGTATCCTTGTAAAAAGTGAATTTCTCTGTGCTTTCTATATATATATATATATATATATATATATATATATATATATATATGTATATTTATTTTCTATAATACCAATCTATAAAGTAGGATTCACCAGATCAAAATATTGTATAATTGATATCATAAAATGTTGACATACTTTTTACCATGGGGTCATGATTCTGCAGAATCTCAATTTCTGTTTAATCAGTGTGTAGAAATTTAAATGGATTTTCTTGACTGTCACTATTTGCCTTACATTTATATTAAGCAAGCTTTGACAAATGTCAGCTGAAAATTTGTGACTGCGTACATAGCGGTAATTATTATTATTTTTTTTTTTTATTGCCCCATCACATGTCCAAGTATATAATAGTGCCAGGGTTGGGGCCCTGGGTTCACTAAGTAACATACATAATACACATATATATTACACAATCATAATGTGACAGGACATTTTTTTCACATATCATTCACACACCTTTCGCTACATACTATATATGATTATATTTATATAAAATTTAACAACTGAAATCTTAATATAATCAGTGAAAAGTTGATGTACATCTGTAACTGCATTGTTTTTTTTTCAAATATATTAATCATATTAAAACATTATCAAATTCCATCGTTTTTTAAAACTGTCTATTTCCCCATTTTTCTTATAAATATATTTTTCACAATTAAAATAATACATAACCTCTTGTTTGACCCTCTCAAAAGATGGTACACATTTTTGCATCTATTTCTAAAAATATGCTTTTTTATTATACATACTACTAAATTAAATATATTGTTATATTTATAATGTTTTCCCAACAAAACATCAACTTTGTTTAGAGATATATCAACTCCAAACTGTTCTTTCATCCAATCCAGTACATTTTCCCAAATTTCTGCAACACACTCGCATTCCCAAAAAAGATGACAAATTGTCTCTGGGTGTTTCTTACAAAAACTACATAAATCTGAGTCAGTAACACCAATTTTGTGTAAATATGTATTTGTAGCTAAAATTCTATGTACAATTCTATAGTGGAACCATCTTAACTGTATATCATTTGTTATGTTAAAAAACAGAATGTTTTGTTTTTTCCACCAAAATTCATCAACATTAGATCTAAAATGTTTTCCCATTTCATTTCACTTTTTGGTTTTTTGTATTTCTGACTAATAAAAACATCATAGAAATTTCTTGCCCCTTGTTTGCTTTTTGTTATTGTTTGTAAGAATTTTGGGAAGAAAGGTTGATTTCTTTGAATTATATTATGATCATAATTCAACTGTAATTTTCTAATACAATTTGTTATGCCTAAAAACATTGTAAAAGGTGTTTTTAAATCATATTGTTTACAAAAGTCTTGGTATCCTAACAAAGTCCCATTTGTATCATAAAAATCAAAAACAAATTGTATACCTTGTCTCAGCCATGACTTATAACAAACACTTCTCTTGTTTATACATATTGATGGATTATACCATATGGGACTTAAAATAGATGTTTGATCATCAATACATAATCTCAAATCCAACAATGCTGAAAAAACATCATTCCAGAAAACATTTTCCGTATCTTTCTTAAGTTTTTTTGAAAAATCCCTACCATAGATAACTAAATATTTAATGTCAGGAATTAAATCTTTTAGCAATTCTTTCCAGGCTGATTTACATGAACTATCAAATAATCTGCGAATCCATGTAATTTTTAAACTTTTACAAAATGAATCAAGACATGTCATTCTCATACCACCGTTTTCATAACTTTGGCATATAATATTTTTAGCAACCCTAGCCGTTTTGGTATTCCAGATATAATGAAAAAATATAGCTTCAATTTCTTTGAGTTTTTCTTTAGAAGGGCTCGGTAAACTAATTAATAAGTGACTAAATTTAGGTAAAAGCAAGGTTTTTACTACTGTTATACGACCTGCCGTTGATAAAGGTCTTCTAGACCATGATGATATAAGCTTTTTGACGGAGTCAATCTTTGGCAAAAAAATCAAATCAAACATAGTGTTTGTGTCTAGATCTACACAGTATGCTATACCTAACACTGTAAATGGTTCCTGTGACCACATCAAGTTTTGATATTTATCACACAAGTTATCATCAGTATGAACAGTAGATCCAATCCTAATACATTGAGTTTTATCATAATTTGGCTTCAGTCCAGAGAATTTGTAATACTGATTGACTTAAGACAAAGCTGATCGAATTGAGTCTTCTGAACCATCCATTAATAAAACTGTATCATCAGCATATTGTAGTAGTTTATATTCTTTATCTTCAATAACAATGCCCTTTATTAATTTATTATTTCTAATCATAATTCCCATTATTTCTGCACATAGTAGGAACAAGTAAGGTGAAATTGGGTCACCTTGCCTACAACCTCGTCCCATTTGGAAAAATTCAGAAAAAATACCATTTTGAATAACACATAACTTAGGTTCTCTAAACAAAATCTTTATCCATTTTAAAAAATTCTCACCAAAATTAAAAAATCTGAGTACTTTAAAAATAGATCTCCAAGAAATAGAGTCAAATGCTTTCTCAAAGTCAATCAATAAAACAAGACCTGAATGATCATTCTCTTTACAATAATGTATGATGTCATATAATAACCTTGAGTTTTCAACAATATATCTACCAGCAAGAAACCCTTTTTGATTTTCATGTATTACTTTTGACAGAATTGGTTTCATTCGATTTGCTAAGACACTAGATAAGAGTTTATATGTAATGTTCAATAATGTAATTGGTCGCCAATTTTTTAAGTGTTCCCTTGGCTTATTGCCTTTTGGTAGAATAGAAATAATTCCAAGCATCTGAGTATAAGATAATTGACCTACTTCATAGCTGTAATTAAAGGATTTGAGAATATATGAATTAATATCTGTCCAAAAAAACTTGAAAAATTCTGCTGTAAACCCGTCAGTTCCAGGTGTTTTGTCGTTCTTAAAATTTTTAAGAGCTTTAAGTATTTCTTGTTTTGTAATTTCAGCATTTAAAATGTTTTTCATATCATTATTTATTTTAGGAACCTCAAAGTTTTGGAATAAGTCTTCAATATTTACATCATCAAGCTCCTGATCTTTGTTTTCATATAATTTTTTGTAAAAGTTCCTTACTTCTTCTAAGATATCTGCTTGCTTATTTACATATTTACCATCATTATTGATTGAATTGCTAATATTTTTATTGACATAATTTCTTTTTTCTAAGGCACAAAAATATTTTGTAGGTTTCTCCCCATCTTCTATCCATTTACAATGACTTCTTAACAATAGCCCCTTCAATTCATATTTTCTTATTTCCTCTAATTCTGTCTCAAGGTCAC